ATAATATTTAATATTTATATATATATATATATATAAATATTAAATTATAGCATACCTCGGCAAATTTGTTACATAAAGATTAGTTTCTTTAATCTCTTCACCAGATGGTCGTGCAAAGGATACTTTTAGCCTTTTGTTCTGAACTTGAAGTCCATTTAAAGTACTTATAGCTGTGGCTGCATCTTCAGCTTTTGCATAATTAACAAATCCAAAACCATAACTATACCCTGTCTATAAAATAAAATTAAAAATATAAAAATAATATAATTCATAAAAATAAAAAGCTAAATTTATATGTTTTATGAAACAGAACATACCTTATAATCTTTCATTACACGACAAGATTCCACAGGCCCAATAGTTACAAAAAGACTATAAAGATCTTTTTCTGTCATACTCTGTGGAAGATAATTGATAATCAAATTTGTTCTTGGTTCTTCATTGCCTTTGGTTTGTTGTTGCTGTTGCGCCTGTTGCTGTTGTTGTGGTTGAGGTTGTTGTTCTCGTTGATCTGTCATTTTAGCAAATTCTTGATCTACTTTCTGATTTGGAGTTTGATTCTGCAGTTCTTGATTTGATGCTACCAACTGTGAGTTGTGCGATTCTGGCTCCTGCGTACTCCAACTGATATGTCCCAGGATAATCGTTGATGGGGTCAGCAAATACAAAAAATATAAACAAAATCATTACTACGTTTTCCCCGTGCAATGCCATGATCGTTGCTCTGCCTGCACTTTTGAATGCTCTCACTTTCTTTAAGCGGTTCAAAATAAATAGAAAATAAATCTGCATATATACATATATGTATATGATGCCAGACCTGTGTATCAGAAACAAACAAACAAAGGCAAGTAAGGACAAAACAGAACCAGCAAGAATAGCCATGAATGAAAGGAACTAAAATCAAACCATATGAAGCATATCAATTGTGAAACCAAATAAAAAATTTCTTTGCTAACAGATAAATACCAAATAATTATGCATATAAAAATATTTTTAAATCTACATTATTTATAAATTTTTTGTACTATTTCAAGTTACAATAAATATAGAAACAAATCATTCAGCTATGTAATGCTAATATATCATAACCTTTTTTATATAAGTATAACAAATAAAATATAATAAATGAACAAAAATCTATTTTATTTTATATCTAAAGCAATATTCAATATATTTCAATATATTAGTGTTTCTACTTTCGTAGACAGGTTCATTGAATTGTAAAAAAAAAGGGGGAAGAAGAGCACGCTTCGTTGACGAGAACTTCCGCGTATTCGATCGTTCGTGTCTAGTTTGTTTATTGTTTACGCAATATATTCAATTTTTATTAGAAACTTGATTGAAGAGAAACGCGCTATTTCATTTTGATTTCATTTATTAGCAATTGTCGATAAATTTTAAAAGTCATCAAACATCATCAAACAGTTCAATCCACTATAGAAAGAGAAGGAATAAAAAAAATTTCTTTTCAAGGTTTAGTGACAGAAAATAATCGTTTGGCCTTATTTCGAAGAAGCCCGGGGAAATGGCCCGGCAGATTCATGAATCGACTAAGCTGTCAGAATATGGAGGGAGTGAGAGAAAAAGGGACATCGTAACAGATGAAGGAGAAGGAAGAATAAACTTAAGGATAGATAAACTAAACTTTCGCCAAATGTAGAATTATACCCTGACTGAGAGCAAAGGTATAAAAATATACGTACCGAAGTGGAAAAGAAGTAGTTAAAGAAACACTGTATATAATGGGAAAAGATCGACGAAAAGAGCAGTATGCACTCACTCACTTGTATCACACGTTATATGCAATTCTGCTTAATACACGCCAATAATTATATAAGCTCGTTGCACCATCACCATCGAATAATGCACACTTTGTTATCACACTTGATGGTATTTGATGTGATGTGTTGCTTTCGCACCGAAGGATCCGATACACAGAGAATGGAGAAGTTAGCAAGCGAAGAATCGCGGAGGAACGTCGCACGACACATACGACACAGCGTACGCAAACGTACTGAGCCCCAGCCCTGACCTGCCTTGCGCGACACCCTCTCGCGGCACGCTACCCCACTACACCACTCTCACCAATGAATAATACAGATAGTTTCACTTAATTTGTACATTTCAAATATATCTAATTTTATTAATAACGTGGAAAAAATATTAGAGCAATAATAACTTTAGTTTAATTCATAAAATAAAAATAATTATAAAATTTCTTCGTAAAGGTTATGATTCTTTTAAAAGCATATAGTATGTAATATGTTGATCTTCTATCGAATGAAACATCCTGTATAATGGGGATGCGCATGGGGCGGGACATCCCGCCTAAATTTCTGGCGCATGTTTACACGAATTCAGGGCCTATGCCAATTTCTCTTATTATTCTATTCTTTTGATGATTTTTAAATAGATTGAATATATACTACGATTTTCGCGATTATATTGTTATAAGTATTACAATAATTGTTTAAAAAAATTTATTTCGCGATTTTTAAAGATAAGTATACTCTATTTATGTTAATGACAGAAAATTTAATTCGTTATATATGTATATAAATTTTTAAAAAAAAATTTTTTGAACATACCTTGACAATACTTCCCAGTAAGGAACTGCGAACATGATAAATTCGACGCGCGATTTTACGTAGTTCGAGTTTCACGTGATATCGAAACGTTTGTACAAATTATTGCAGTAAAATTTTACAAACCGGAAATGATATACGTTGTTCCTGTTTGGATTATGTGACCGTCATTTTTTTATACTCTACTTTGTTTCAAAAAACGAAATTATTCCTTTAATCGTTGAAATTTATGTGAATTATAGTTCGTTATCCTGTTCGTTTATTAGATAAGAAAGAAGTAAATATAACCAATAATAGTGCTCAAAATAAATATATGCCGTATCTAATAATAATTATAGAAGAATTAAATGCTGGAATTTTATTACAGAAAATACATGATGATGATTTATATAAAATTTAATTTTTCTTAAATTTCCAATAAATTGCATTGTACTATTAAACATTGCATTTCTAAATCTGTTTGCAATGATAAATTTAAGAGTTTATTCTTTTAACTAAAAATTTAATATTTAATTCAATTTATTATGCAATAAACAAAAGTAAAAAAAAAATAATGTAATAGAAATCAAACTTTTAAAAATATAAGTATTAAAATACATAAACAAAGATTTTGTGCATTAACCAACGATAACTACGATTTCTAACCTCGTTATAAATTTCACGATTGATAAAATTAATAGGTTATTACAAAATATTTTTTAATTTTTTTATTGTTGTAAAATATTTTTAAATGGGAAATTAGGTTTAAATAAAAAACTTACCTGACTTGAGGATTTATATTATTTTGCGTATCTTCGTTTTGTTCATTTGTAGCCATTTCGAGCGTGTGTGAAACATAACACTAAGTGTTAGAGTATCTTCTGTCGAAGTGAGCGATTTTTCATTTTCACATGTCGGTCGTGTCGCATTCACAATGCTTTTTGGATGCAAGGGCGCATTTTACGAAGATTTTTTTTTTCACGGCTATGCTATAAACATGCACGTGCGCACTAACTCAATGAAATTTATCGTGTTTCCCACTTCAAGATTTCATTGAACAATTTAATTGGATTCGTACATGCAATTTTTGATGCACGAAAAAAAATTTCTGTGAAAATTCATTGCACCTTGATTTTGTTCGCTAATGAATTGAAATCATTGAAGTTACTACTACCTAATGTTTCTTAATATGAACAAACGAAAAATAAAAAATGAATATAGCAAATATTTGACTATGATTTTTTCTTGTCATTATTAATTGCATTTTTTTCTTTAAAATAAATGAAAAAATTAATATACTATTTCATAGACGAATTGGGTCAATATTAACTGTGAACGGTATTCATTTGCGAGGTTAGGTTTCATTTGAAAGTATATTTTTTTCGCTTATTACTAATTTTATCTTTTAAATTAATTGAAAATCTTGTTTTTTTTATATATTAATTTTGATTTAAAAGATTTAATCCAAAAAATTTCTTATGCTTTTTTATTCAATATTATAATAATAATAATTAAATATGTATAAAAAGTATAAATAGATTATGCACTGCATATACATATAAAGCAACTTGATATCATTGATAATATATCAAAAGAATAATTATAAATTGGAGTTTTTTCTCTTTCTTCTTTCTCTCTGTCTGTATTATATTTTTCTTTATATCTTTCTGTATTTATCTATTGATCAAAATTGAATAAAATAATTCAATTGCACAAGGCACGTAATCCTGAATACATTGTTAAGAAATAAAGAGATTGTTTCAATAATAATTAGAAAAAAGAATGAAAAGATTTTATCTTAATACAGAAAATCCTTTGGCTCTCGAAAAACGAAAAGGTCTACACTGGAGATATCGTGTTTCTGCAGGACTGTGTACTGGTGTTTCATTATTCTCTTTATTCCATGCATGTCTTGGAGATTCTATGCCAAAAGGACTATAAAGTTTTGTTGGTGTTCGACCAAGAAGTTGACGAGAACGGGTTTGAGGAGTCTGCATTTTACAAATACTGTTAGGAGATTGTTGCTCCTCCAATCTTTGACGTCTTCGTGTAGAACTTTTGAATTTCTAAATGTAAGAAATAAAATATTTATAATCATAATTTAAAGTCACCAAAATAATCAATTTTATCTTAGTCATTTTTTTCATAATTTATCTGACCTGTGAAATAGTTCCAAAAGTTATGCGTACGGAAGATATGGTTTTGGATAACTTCTCAGCTCCATTTCGCAGAGCACGTCTAGAATCCGCTGACATATTTCCCAGAGTTAAATTGTTCCAACTACGATCACTTGTTTGTTTTTCCTTTGACATCTTTCCTTTACAGGAATCTCCAGACTTTTCTTTCTCGAAACGATCTTGAAGACGTCGTCTTATATTTTTTGTAATTTCCGGTGAATTATTGATATTCAGAATTTCCCGGTGAAATGTAAATGAAACGCTGCGTGAATCCGGTCGCATATTTTTTAATTATTCTTATTTAACGAACCACTTACGATTTCTAATACAAATATTTCAAATATTAATTAAGACATTTTAATATTAATTAAGACATTATTGATAAGAAATACAAAATTAAGAGATACTCGCTTCATCCCTTGGAATACATTAAGAGTGACGCTGTCAATCGCCAACGTACGAAAAACAAGAATGGCCGTAGTCTATGAAATTTAATTCAATTTTCAATTTAGAATATCATGAAAAAAAATGTGAATGAATTTATTTAAACATAAATGAATTTTTAAAATGAATTTACGAAATTCTAAAAAAATAAGCATTACATAAATTATAAAAAATTTCAAATTCGAAAATAAGTTTTGATAATTATATTCCTTAATTTTTCTATATAGGATATTGATTTCTCAGTTTCATAAAATATTTATTATTAAAAATAAATAATTCTAATAAACTTTAATAATATTCAAATATGTAGATATTTTTTAAGATATATTTTTAAGATATATTTTTTAAAAAAATATAAAAAATATTAAAAATATATTTGTTTTGTATTTTCTTAAATATTAATGATAGACTTGTCTATAGATGGCACTGAAAAATTGTCAAAACAGTTAGAAATAGGTAGTTTCGTTATATTGATGTTTATTATATTATATTGATATTTACATTATAAATTACATTACATATTATTAATACAATTTTATTATTATTATTGTAAACAATTTAAGTTGTTTATTTGGGATTTGATGGAAATTGATTATGAAATTCTAATATATATTTTAATTTACATACATTTCAAAATATATATGAATAATATTAAGTGATATTTTACAGTGTGATATTAGTAAAACATTTTAATTATTTCATTATTTAATATTATATATTTAATGGTGTCATAAATATAGAGATATTTTTTTAGATATAGTTATACAAATACGTGTAAACTAACCTCAAAATGAGTTACAACAAAAAAGTATCATATTTTTACAATCCAGATGTTGGAAATTTTCATTATGGCCCTGGACATCCTATGAAACCCCATAGACTCGCTGTAATACATAGTTTGGTACTCAATTACGGTCTGCATAAAAAAATGCAAATCTATCGCCCATATCGTGCTAGTACTCATGATATGTGTCGCTTTCATTCAGATGAATATGTTGAATTTCTACAAAGAGTGACTCCGCAAAATTTACAAGGATACACCAAATATTTAAGTCATTTTAATGTAGGCGATGATTGTCCAGTTTTTGAAGGACTGTTTGATTTTTGTTCTATGTACACAGGCGCTTCTTTAGAAGGTGCTACAAAACTAAACAATAATTGCTGTGATATTGCTGTTAATTGGAGTGGAGGATTACATCACGCAAAAAAATTTGAAGCTTCCGGTTTTTGTTATATTAACGATATTGTCATAGCAATTTTAGAATTGTTAAAATATCATGCTAGAGTACTTTATATAGATATAGATGTCCATCATGGAGATGGAGTGCAAGAAGCATTTTATCTTACAGATAGAGTAATGACAGTATCTTTTCATAAATATGGAAATTATTTCTTTCCTGGTACTGGAGACATGTATGAAATTGGAGCAGAAAGTGGGAGATATTATTCTGTCAATGTACCTTTGAAAGAGGGTATAGATGATACATCTTATGTCCAAGTATTCAAACCAGTCATATCTCATGTAATGGAATTTTTCCAACCGACAGCAATAGTTTTACAATGTGGTGCAGATTCACTTGCAAATGATCGTCTTGGTTGCTTTAGTTTAAGTACAAAAGGACATGGAGAATGTGTAAAATTCGTTAGAGATTTGAATGTACCATTACTTACTGTTGGAGGAGGAGGATATACATTACGTAATGTTGCGCGTTGTTGGACTTACGAAACTTCTTTACTCGTTGATGAACAAATTAGTAATGAGTTACCATACACAGAATATTTAGAATATTTTGCACCAGATTTTACATTGCATCCTGATGTTGTAACAAGACAAGATAATGCAAATAGTAAACAATATTTAGAAGCTATTACGAGACATGTATATGATAATTTGAAAATGATCCAACACTCTCCAAGTGTTCAAATGCAAGATGTTCCATGCGATGCATTACCTCCTGAAGAAGAAAGACAACCAGAACCTGATTTAGATTCTAGACAAAATATACAAGATACTGATAAAATAATTGAACCAGCAAATGAGTATTATTCTGGAGAAAAAGATCAAGATAAAATGGATGTAAATGAAACATGATAAAAGAATCAATAGATTAAATATTAAAAAATAAAAATAATATTATATTAGAAAAATATCGTATCACTTGCAATGTAGAATTAAAAATCAATTTTAATGTGAACAATTGTAAATACAATATATAAACTTGTAAATATTTTTAAATCTATTAAAATGACTTTATTTTTTAATTTGACACTTGTATATATATCTGTTAATTTACCATTACATGATGACTTAATAATTTAAAATTATTAAATATTTATTAGGCAAGTTTATTGTTTTATGTCAGACAGCATATTATTTACAATATAACGATGATGTTGATGATGATGTGATCATAATAATAATAATAATAATT